AAAATGTTTGCTGTGGAAACGAATTGTGTTTTGTTTGAAATCCAGCAGGATTTTATGAAATAAATAGCAAATATTGGCTGTTTACCAACTAGTCTATAAACCTTTTTTTTTTTTTTTACATCTCTCAAATGATACACATTATTAAAATACAAGAGTGTTTGCTAAAACAAACTTTTGTGACCACCTAATGTTTCGGTTTAAGTCTCGTTTTTCTTGCCCTAAAAAAGCTTTCCCCTAGAAGTATATCCACGTTTGCTTTTGTGTTTTAGACAAAGTGTACAGAACTCCTGGTAATCGTTTTAAGTAGCTCTATGAAACATCTCATGAAAGCACCAAAACATGATGGTTCAAAGTGAGCAAAGCACAGCCACTATACAGTGGTACCTCTGGTTACGTACTTAATTTGTTCTGAAGGTCCGTTCTTAACCTGAGGTACCACTTTAGCTAATAGAGCCTCCCGCTGCCGCCGCACCGCCACCGCACGATTTCTGTTCTCATCCTGAAGCAAAGTTCTTAACCCGAGGTACTATTTCTGGGTTAGCGGAGTCTGTAACCTGAAGTGGCGTATGTAACCTGAAGCGTATGTAACCCGAGGTACCACTGTATATGGTGGAAGGAACCTAAATGAGTCATCTTTCCAATCATCCCCGTGATCCGCCCCCCCCCCCCCAATCACAAATTGTCTTCGCTGCTCCTCAGAATTCCCCAAGCATGTGTGGGTGGGCGTTAGTTGAATAAACTATTGCTACCTTTCTCTTCTTATTGAATTTCAACGGCCTTGGTTTGTTGTTGTTTTTCCCCCAAGGCAGAAAGGCTGCGCCTGAATATTGAATAAAATTATTTGCCTAGAGACTTTCAAGCTCAATGCAAAGCACCTTCGGTTGGTTTAAAAAGAAAAAGAGGTTGACTTGGCTGCAATAAACAGTAAAAATTCTTTGCATTTCTGTGTTTGTCTCTGGCTTAATTGTGTCCTGCTCTTGCCATTGACCTGATGTGATTGATATTGGTTGTTCGTTTTTAATGTGCTGCCAGCCCCTCACCGCACAGGTAAACAGTAAGTAGATGGCTCTTGACCTGCAGCTGACTGTTTGGGGTCAGATTCAAATGCTTCATCAATGATATTCCTGCCAAGTGGCATACTTTCTGTTACACACACACACCTTTATTGATTAACTCATTAGTGGCTGGCAGGCACTTTGCTTTAATGAGTATTTCAAAGTGATGGATAGGGCTACCTCTTCTACTTTTTGAGTGTGACCAACTTGCTAAGCTGCTAAGGACATGTTTACTGTGTATTTTGCATGGGAATGTTGTTCATATGACTTGGTTTCGGGGGTGGCATGGAAAGCATGTTCTTCCTTGAAACTCCTGAGCAGCAGCTTTCAATTTGGATGAAGGTTTTATTTCCAGGCATCTTGCATCTCCCCCCACCCCCACTTCTCACGTACAGATAGTATGCGCTGAAACATTAATGTTTATACTATATAGTGCAAAGCTATTGGACTTCAGATTTTAATTTTGCAGAGGGGATTTGCTCTTTCTTCCATTGTGGCATTTCCCCTCCCCCCTTTTCTTTATTCCACTTATTATCCATTCTTATGGAAGTACCTTTCCCCACGTATCAGGGTACGGTACTCTGTTCTTTCCTCCTGGCACCCCTGGCACATAAGTGGGTTTAAGAAACATTAAGTTAAAGCATAGCTTGGTGTAAACATGTAAGCAGATTACGGAAGACAAAACGGTTGCCACTTCGCTCCTCCCTGGTCCTTTTGCTGCTGTTAACCTATAGTTTGCTTAGCATTTTGTCCAAAACCAAGGCTTGTGGTTTAGCTCTTTCGAACAAGCCACCCACCACTTGTTAACAAGGTTTGTCCTGTGATTTATGCAGGGCCCTTGCGGAGCTGGTCTGGGGCCCAGGGTGGGAGTCTTGTTAGAATAAAGTTATAAACTCAAACAAAAAAGCAACTAGTCCCTGGCGGGGCCCCTGGCCAACATAACCCTCTGAGGTCTGGAGCTTCTCCAGAGGATTGGGGGGTGAGGGACCATACAATGTCGTGCAACGTTCTCTGAATATTGAGGGGGCCCAGTCCCCTAACATAATATATTTGTGGGGCCAAAACTGCCTCAGCCCCTGTGAGTCAGCACCTATGGCCTTGGGCAAGTGTACCCTGATGTTCCCCAACCTCTGCATGAGCCTGGATTCAGGACTTGTGGTTAATTCGGGAGAGCTAAGCCTTGAGTCCTGGGTCGGGCTACATGCGGCAGCAAACTATGGCTTAGCTCAGCGCGACGCTGCAGCAGAACAAGTGGGGAAGACTGACGTGGCTGCAAATTCCTCTCTTTGAAAGGTACTTGAACAGTAGGTTGAAAGTTGGTACACACGTCTAAAGTCATTGTGACTACAGTGGTACCTCGGGTTACATACGCTTCAGGTTACAGACTCCGCTAACCCAGTAATATTACCTCGGGTTAAGAACTTTGCTTCAGGTTGAGAACAGAAATCATGCAGCGGCGGCGCAGTGGGAGCAGGAGGCCCCGTTAGCTAAAGTGGTGCTTCAGGTTAAGAACAGTTTCAGGTTAAGAACAGACCTCCAAAACGAATTAAATACTTAACCTGAGGTACCACTGTATTAGGAAAGGCTGCTGCTATGACATTTTTATGTTTCTCATTTAAAGCTTTGGAACGTGAAATCCACCTCGCAATAGCAGTCGGCGCTCCAGACATACATGCAGTAAAATGGCCGTAGCGCTCTCAGTTCCTACCCTTGAATTGGAGGAAACAGGACTTGTTCTTGCTGCCAGGGACAGATCCCTTGCTTGCTGAAGGGTGGAAAACGCAAAACCGCTTAATTCTATCTTTAAACAGCCGTCCCTTAATATAACCACTGAGCTCGTGTTGTAAGTCTTTTTAAAGAACTTAACATTTTAACTTTCTGCAAAATGTGGACTTAATTATAGTTTATAGTGTGATCCCCGCCCCCCCCCCCCAGCAAAGGTCCTGTAAGGGAGCATCCCACATAATTGCCGCTGTGCATTTATGCTCAGGGCTTCGGTTTCTTTGCTTGCCCTGTGCCCTGTCATTTTATTTCTTAAAATGCAGCATTGCAGCATTTAAAAAAGCACGTACCAAAATTCATAGTGGGTGTGCTACTTTCTTGTGGGCACAGAGTCGACTCGAGCCAAAATATTACATCCACGGTAGAGTAAATACCCTCTGACGTGATTAGGCAGGAAAAGGGTCCAAGGGAGGATTCTTTTTGCATTTGTCTGAAAGATTGTGCTGGGTTTGTTGATCGTGGGGAAAATTTACTTAGCATATTCAGCTAAGCTGAAATGTGTGGCGAATCCCCTATCAGGTTGTTGCCTCATTGTGTGACAGTCAGGGGCAGAATTTGGCAAGAACAGGATGGCAGGGCTAGTGCTGTTGCTAACCTTTAAAGCCCTAAACAGCCTCAGCCCAGTATACCTGAAGGAGCGTCCACCCCCATTGCTTAGCCCGGACACTGAGGTCCAGCGCAGAGGGCCTTCAGATGTCAAGGAAATAAACAACTATCTGACTTTTGGAAGACATCTGAAAGCAGCCCTGTTTAGGGAAGTTTTTAATGTTTTATCGTGTTTTTAATATTCTGTTGGGAGCCACCCCGAGTGGCTGGGGAAACCCAGCCAGATGGGCAGGGTATAAATAAAAAACTATTATTATCATCATCATCATTATCAGTGCAGCCCAGATCCCCTTGTTCACTGTTCTCACATCTCCGCTCAGAATCTCTGGATCAGCAAATTCTACTAAAAATGGGGAACCTGAGCTAGGATACCTCCAATCTCTTGAAAAAGGAAAACTATGGAACTCCCTGCCACAAGGAAACTACTGTGGCTAAGAACCTGGCCATTTCTAATGGGGGATTTGATAGCCACCAAGCAGAAGTAATTGTCAAACTATGCCACAATTTTCTGGGCGAATCATGACAAGACTCCATTTCTGTACAATCATTTAGTGACTGTTCGGCCTCAGCATATTTGGGCTCTAAGGACAGGAATCCCTGCTCTAGCCTGCTGAACAGGGAAATGGCAGGAGTGCAGCCCTGACTCTTTGCCATTGCCAGGTTATAAAATCATTCTGCCATGGACCCCCACAGTTTGTGTCACATGGAACTTGCCCTTCAGGTGGGCTATCCATACTTCCAGTATATTCACTACATTGTTGTGGTACCGTCAGTCAACTTGTAACAACTCTCTCCTAGGTTATCCCACAGGAAACAACTTTATTATCCTTTTCCCTCTCCATCATAAAACGCCACTCTCTGAGGACCTGTTACCAACATCCTCCATAATCTATATTAAGAATAAAAGCCATTTAATCTCGTCCCACTATCTGTTCTTCTAAGGCTGATCCTACCATGTTCAACTTACAGTATTAAGGTGTGTTTTTTAAGAAAAAGAAAAAGAAATGCGGCATGTGTTTTAAGTGGTATTTCAGGGAGAGAAAGGTGTACTGCTTTTCTGGTCACTCGGAAAAAGGGAACATTTTGTTCAGTTGTCTGCCAGTGTAACACAGAGTCAGTCCATCCCGTTTGTTTTCTAGTTATGGCTTAAGTTCCATGCATGATTAATGGTGACAAATGTGCTAGAGGCATTATTACTTCTTTATCCATAAATCTGTGTGTACAGTGTAGGGATGGCAGCTTCATAGGTCTCATTTTGCCACGCACTTCCTGTCTGTGTAGCAAAAGTGCAACGTATGTAAGCGGCTCAGCCGCAGAACCTAGAAACCTTGAAGCACTATGCCACAGGAAAGCGTTTTGTCAGGGGTTTGACCAATGCTTCCAGTACATTTTGCAGATAAGAACTCTTACCAAAAATGCTATTGTGACCAGAAAAGTTGTCGTGCAAGCCATTACCTTGAAAAACATTCATTTCTACTAATCTTGCTCAATTTGTGTAATTTTTAGAATTGTGACAGTGCTCATCCTTTCCCCCCCCCTTCTTCTTTCATTTTACAGGTTGTACATACACACAAACCGCACTTCATGGCGTTGCACTGTCAAGAGTTTGGTGGGAAAAACTATGAAGCATCCATGTCTCATGTGGACAAGTTTGTTAAGTAAGTAACGAGAAACGATGGGGTGCCAACCTAGACAATGGCTTGTGCTTCAAAGTCAAAATTACCCCCACACCTTTTTTAAAAGTAAGGTATTTCATGTCTCCTTCAAATTACCACTTCATTCACTACATGTATCAAGGGGAGTGGGTGGCGCTGTGGTCTCAACCATTGAGCCTCTTGGGCTTGCTGTCCAGAAGTTTGGTGGTTTGAATCCCTGCGATGGAGTGAGCTCCCCTTGCTCTGTCCCAGCTTCTTCCAACCCAGCAGTTTGAAAGCACACCAGTTCAAGTAGATAAATAGGTATCACTCTGGCGGGAAGGTAAACGGCGTTTCCATGTGCTCTGGCTTCTGCCACAGTGCCCCGTTGTGCCAGAAGCGGTTTAGTCATGCTGGCCACATGACCCGGAAAGCTGTCTGTGGACAAATGCCGGCTCCCTCGGCCTGAAAGCGAGATGAGCACCACAACCCCATAGTCACCTTTGACTGGACTTAACTGTCCAGGTATCCTTTACCTTTACCTTATTAAGCATGTGAGCCCCTAAAAAGCTTTAAAAGAAGAAGTAGTAGTTTGTAGTACCAGTTTGGCTTTCAATTATAAGTCATTTCAGTGATTTAGGCAAACGGATCTGCCTTGTGCCAGGTAAGGTTGTTTGGCTTGCTTTGGCCAGTACCAGCAGGACTCTTCTTATGTGGGAAACCTGGTGTGTTTGATTTCATCAAGTTCTGATTTTGTTTTTAGTGACATGTAACAGAGAGAGAGAGAAAGAAGGAAGGAAGGTAAACGAGGGAAAGTTTCGTTTTTAATTTTCCGTTAAAAGAAAAATGGGAGTGACTCTTTTTTGCCTGGGTGAATGGATATTTCTCAGGGCTTTCTGCACCTCATACTATATGACATGGGACACTAGTTTTGGCAGAAATGCATTTTAAAAGATTTTATGAGCAAAAGTAGCATGCTGTTTAAAATTCTGTAATAATTGTAAAGGTGTTTGATATCTTGGAGAGTCGCCTCCCAGTTTTTAGACTTGCTTGTGTTGTGTGCATCCTGGTGCAAAGGCAATCACTGACAAGAGTGGATGAAGTGTCAAGTAGGGAGAATTGGTTTTTATTTTTAAAACACACAAAAAAAGCTCATGCAGAGTGTGAAAAGTTTCAGTTTGAAGAATTACCCGACAGAAGGTATCATTTTCTTCTGTCACTGAATCTTCAGCCCAGCTGATGAGCAAGGAAGAAAGGTCAGAGGCAGACAGCATAGCAACCTCTATTGTACGTGCTCAGAATGAGGTGAAATTTCAAAATACACAGCTGAAGAAACAATAGTGACTTGCTAATGTTAAGGTTTTGCTAGTTTCTCACCTTTCGTAAGCTTTTTTTTTTTTTAAAGAAATGCAATCAGTTTCTGCAAAATGATACTGACATTTCTAAATGTGTAGCTAGAAATCAAGGCTGGAGCTAGACACATCAAAGAAGCGTTTCATTTTAACGTGTTGTAAATTTAAACAGTGCGGGACGCGGGTGGCGCTGTGGGTTAAAGCCTCAGCGCCTAGGACTTGCCGATCGAAAGGTCGGCGGTTCGAATCCCCGTGGCGGGGTGCGCTCCCGTTGCTCGGTCCCAGCGCCTGCCAACCTAGCAGTTCGAAAGCACCCTCGGGTGCAAGTAGATAAATAGGGACCGCTTTCTAGCGGGAAGGTAAACGGCGTTCCATGTGCTGTGCTGGCTTGCCAGATGCAGCTTGTCACGCTGACCACGTGACCCGGAAGTGTCATCGGACAGCGCTGGCCCCCGGCCTCTTGAGTGAGATGGGCGCACAACCCTAGAGTCTGTCAAGACTGGCCCGTACGGGCAGGGGTACCTTTACCTTTACCTTAAATTTAAACAGAGAAATCTGGTAGGGAAAAACATGGCCCCACATCACCACCTGGTGGCACAGTGTTGTATCGCGTATACAACGCATATAAATTGCTTTTTCTTTACCAATCTAGCTGAGTCCCAGCTCAGTGTCTTTTCATACGATTACATAACAATTAACAAAATTTATTAAAATTTTCTGTGGAAAGCCTGCATATATGTGTGACTTCTTTGTTTTTGACTTATATAAACAAGAGTTTTTATTCAAACACTTGCCCGTTTTATTTTTACAATTTTTTCTCATATTAATTTTTATGCCTTAAAAAAATATACAGTATTACAAACATTGATTATAGAACACATTATTGCTCCACAATTAAGATGTGAGGTAAAGTGCTTACAGTTTTTATTTGTGCTCTAAAACCCATGGGAAATGGTCAGGCAATCGCCTTGTAAGCATTAAAGAATGCAAAAGGGCAAACAAAAAGTTGGAGTACTACTACTACTACTACTTACAGTGGTACCTCTGGTTATGTACTTAATTTGTTCTGGAGGTTTGTTCTTAACCTGAAACTATTCTTAACCTGAAGCACCACTTTAGCTAATGGGGCCTCCTGCTGCCACTGCGCCGCCGGAGCACAATTTCTGTTCTCATCCTGAAGCAAAGTTCTTAACCCGAGGTAATATTTCTGGGTTAGCGAAGTCTGTAACCTGAAGCGTATGTAACCTGAAGCGTATGTAGCCCGAGGTACCACTGTATTTATACCCCGTCCATCTGGCTGGGTTTCCCCAGCCACTCTGGGCAGCTCCCAAAAGAATTAAAAGCACAATAAAACATCAGACATTAAAAACTTCCCTAAACAGGGCTGCCTTCAGATGTCTTCTAAAAGTCAGATAGTTGTTTATTTCCTTGACATCTGATGGGAGGGCGCCCCACAGGGAGGGCGCCACTACCGAGAAGGCCCTCTGCCTGGTTAGCAAATGTGAGTGTAGGAGCGAAGGCTTTGCCTAGCCTTGCATATTATACTGGTTTACAAATGTGGTCCCGTACAGTAATCCTTTGCTTTGGCAGCTGAACATTGGTCTGTCCAGGCAGAAATTCAGCAAGTTCGGCTTTCCCACGCATTTGCTGTGTGCAGGTCGAAGATATTCTGCTCCTTTATATTCTGATACCAAATGTCTTGAGCATGCTGTGGGGTCCCCCCCCCCCAATTCAGTGTGAATGAATCCCAACCATTTTTTCTTGATGAGTTCACTGCTAGTGAGAGCAATAATGAAGTATATTTCACTAGGACTTGCAGAACTTTTGCCTGGTGTTCATGCTGCTAATAAGACACTGTTGAAAATCAATAATGTAACTTTCAGGTTTCATTCAGGCTGTGGGATTATTATTTTTCAGTTGCAGTTCTACCAATTATATAGTATGGAATAGACTGTAGCTCTTGAAAGTAGTGAAATAGTGCCCTCTACTGTCTTGAATCATTGTTGAGTTGCATGGCGGTTTTTCTGTTGTGTGTTATGTTTTGGAAGGCTGTAGGGACAAGTCTTCTGTATGGTTTGAAAACAGAGCCCGTTTGTTGGAATGCGTTTGCATTTGGCGAAGGAGTGCTTTTTGTAGGGTTGACTTGGTGGAGGTATGCAGAACTAAAATAGACCAGAATGTGGCAGAATAGCATTACTTGAAATGTGGCAATTTATTCTCAAAGCTCACTGGTTTTGCAAACTTCAGTTTTTAGCCTTTTGTTTTTGAATTATTGTTGTTGCTTTAAGGAATTAGGTATGTAATCTCTCTAGGAGAATATTTACTCATTTGTGGCTCGCTTTTTGCAACTTTCAGAGAGCTGTTATCGAGCGATGCAATGAAAGACTACAACAGAGCCCGGGTTTACCTAGATGAGAACTTCAAGTCGCAGGAACAGTTTACGGTAAGGTTCCTTGTGCAGTTATGTATTTGGTTCAAGGTGGCGTGACATTACTTGCTCATCCTAAAACGGAGGCTCTTGGGGAGTCGTCGCCAGTGGTGAAGGTTGTGCATTGAGACCGCAATTGTAACTGAATTTAACAGTAGTAGGTTCCTCTGGATATAATGGGTCTTAAATCCCAGGTAAACACAAGGATTGCACTTTTCATATCAATGCAGTTGGCCACCTCTGTCTCGCACATCTAATTAGCCAAGCAGGGGACTTGATTAAGCGCCCCCTCCAGGCAGTTTCCCCCAAGTCCCACACCAGGTAAAAGCAAGGTTGCCTTAAAATGTGCTCCTGGTTGTTCCTTGGCAAGTTGGGCTTGTATTTGGAGACTTTTTGGCACTGGGATTGGTTCCACTAGGGATCTCGCCAACCAGAGCTCCGGAGTCCATCTGATTGGAGCTGTCTTCAAGACCCACTTTCAGCAGTAATCAGCTGGATGGTGGTGACATCAAGCCCTGCTGGGACAGACTGTGCTGAGCTGATTTGCAGGGACTTCAGACATGGCTTGGATCAGCTGTGTTCTTCCTTTGCACTCAAGCTGCACTACGAGGGGGGGGGATGGGCTACCTGATAGCATGGTGACGTCTGGTAATTTGTAGGTGGGCAGCTTCCCCCTACCTGCTAAACCTGGGGTGGAGGAACTTGGAATCCGCCCCGGTGACGAGATCCTGTCCCCTGTCCCTGGCATACTGCAAGCGCTAATTCCAGCATTCATTTAGGGTGGAAACAAAACTACACTTCATTTATGTGTAGACTTGGAATGAAGTTACACTTAATTTCATTTCATTAAGTTAATGTAATACACTTGAAATTAAGTTACACAATCGCTGCACAACAAGGGAAGCTCATTTCTCTATTAGATATTATAGCAGCGCTTCATCCATTTACTCTCTCGCTTTCTCTTTTGCCTTAAAGCGGAAATGGGGAACCTGAGGCTCTCCACATGTTGTGGAACCACAGCTCTGATTATCCTTAAACCATTGACTCTGCTAGCTGGGGCTGATGGGAACTGAAGGGCCACAGGTTCCCCATCCCTTTCTTAAAAGGTACAGGGCTATCCTTGATCCCAGTTCTGTTTCTAAAGGATCGTAACAGTCACTGGTCCAGCATTGGTCTAGAGGCAGCTTGCTCCATCCCTTAGGAAAGTGAACAGTCCTGCATGGTTGTAGCTGTTTCAGGTGGCAAGGATCCCATAAAGGAGGCCTAAGAGAGACTTGCATTGCCCAGGTAGAAAAGGGAAAGGCTGCAGCTTGGTGGTAGAGCATCTGTTTTGCCTACAGAAGATCCCAGATTCAGTCCTTGTCTTCTCTCGGTAGGCCGGGGGAAGACTCCTGCTGGAAACCTTGGAGAACTGCTGCCTGTCTTTGTAGATAATACTGACCTAGACCAATAATCTGACTCAGTATAAAGTTTCTATCAAATGAGTAGAAGGCCCACTATTTCCAATTTGTCTGCCATTTTCTTTACAGATCAACTTCTCTGTTTGTTGCCATAATTCTTCTTTCTAATCCCCTGCCAGTAGAAAAAAGAAATTAGGGGGGGATTAAGTATCAAATATACTCCAATAACGCCGTGCAAATAAAATACCTGGTAGAAGTTTCAGAGTATAAAAATAAATAAATCCTGCTTTTAGTGAGACTTTCCCTTACCCACTGAAACATAATTCAGTAGGATTTCAGGAAGGGGAAAGCATGTAACATTGGTTATTACCTATTGTCATAATCTCCTTTAGGAACACTAAATGGAAACCAAGGCCTAGGGCCCACAGTTTTCATGATACAGTTATGGCGCAGTCAACCAACGTTTCCTTGAAAACATATCAGTTAAAAGGGCTTTCCCCCGCAGCACACCATTGTTTAAGCTGCATTTTGCCACAATATTCTCAATGGTTTTCATAATACACTGCTGGTTTTGACAGCGATGCCAGTGCTGAAGGAAACAAATGTTTATGCACTTTGATTTGATGGACAACAACAAAAAATATTCAGTGGCCCACTGAGACCACCTTCAGTTTTCTGGTGTATCTCCTCATTTTATCAACTTCGATGTAGTTCTGACTCTCTCCAAAGTCACTCTCACTGTGAAACCTGAAACGATCTCTCCTTATTTTGCCACAGTGTTCTCCACCTTAGAAACCTCCACTGAGAGATGTTTCTTTATCTCCCAACTTTCTGGAAAATCAAATAAATAAGCCTATCTTTCACCTTGTTTGCCCTTCCACTGCAATTTGACTCTCCATTCTTCATTTAATATTCTCTGACTATTTCTGCTTTTGTTGGGAGTTTTGGTCCTCTGAAATGTGCTCTCTTGAGCAAATCAATAACTGATTGTGCATTGATTTCTCCACCAAATGAGAGAAGTGGAAGAATCATATATTCTAGCAGCAGCAGCAGCAGAGAAAGAGAAAGAGAGAGGAAGGGAAATTTGACTTCCTTTCACTGGCTTAAAAGAAAGTCTCCCCATGTTATAGCTGTCTTGCTTGAGATGAGAAGACTGGGATAGTGGTCTTTCTAATCTAGGGGAAATGGTACTGCTGTAGGGAGGGAGCTATGAGCCAACTGTAGTGACTGGGTGTAATGGCAAGGAGGGGTAGGCAGAAGAATACCATACTTCAGAACTGATAACCAAAGGCACACTACTTCAGTTTGATACGATTGTCACCTTACTTCACTATTTGCTGCAAGTATGAAACCTCACTGGAGAGGCCAAGCCAAAACCTAAGATGAGCTCCTATAGATCAAAGCTGGCAAGACTTCCCTTGAGCATGTACTCTCAATACTGACCTTCTGCATATTTTAATTGAAAACTCCTGAATGATGTTTTCCGAAATTGTAGTTCAAAACTCAACTTTTGTAGATAATTCTGTACTTACTTTTAATATCTATTTAAAAAACACACTTTGTTTTGAGATGCTGAGGCTGTTAAACATATTGTATGCTACTTTGAATGTTTATCTCAAAGCAGAGTGAATACTATTTTATTTTAAATGCCCTTGAAAATAAGAGCCAAGGGGGTTAGAATATTGAAGGGAGTATAAAAGTAACACTGATTTTTGCATTTCCTTTCCTTTCTTCCAGGCTGTGTTGTCATTGTCATTGTTGCTTTTTCAGACATAAAATTGGAAATTTATTGCATTGACTTGCTAAGTCAGCAACTCATAGAAAATGGTGGCCAGTCACTCAATTAAGAGTGAAATCCTATATTTACCTGGGAGTAAGCCCCACTGAACTTAATGGGACTTACTTCTAAGTAGACATGTTCAAGATTGCACTGTTAGTTGATAGTTGTAGTTCAGCAACCTTTAGAGGTTCACTACACCTGATTTAAAGGATGGGAATGATATGCTAATAACTAGATGTGTATTGTATATTCTCCGACTTTAATATCCCCTGTATAAATAGCACATTCAATCCATCCATGCAAATTATGGAAATTCCCCATTGAATGTTACTACTGGTTGTTGTTACGGCCCAGCACCCTTTGTTTTCCTCCTCCTTGTGCATCTTCTCAGTACCATATTCCTTTCTTCTTTGCCCTCTCAATCTTCCGACGTTTAATTCTGATTGGTTCAGGCAACCCATATTTTCTTTGCGAACATTTATGACATCACAATAGCTAGTGATGTGTGACATCACATGGCTTCATGATGTCATTAACCAAATCACTCAGATTTCTGAGTAGCATTAAGCAGTGCCTAATTAGTAGGGAAAGAGTTGAGGATTTTGAGAGCCAGAAAGGGGAATAGCAACATCCATGAACGCATGTGAATATGTTTGCAGCAGACGCTAAAAATCTTTAAGCTTATATATAAATGCTCACACGGTGATCAATGCCAGTACCTTGAGCTAATGTGACCTTTTAACAAGGGAATAGTAACTGTGCTTTAATATTGGATAACATTATTAAATAAAGAGCATTATTTTACCTTAAAATTATGTTCTCCTTATTACAAAAATGGTAAAGTTAATTTTTGTTAGATTAATGGTATTTGAGCAATATTTTCCGTCAAGCTTGGCTCAAATAATTGGTCATTAATTGAAAAAGGAAATTGAATTGGATTTATCATGTACATAAATCCTGTGCAAGTTATTAATGGGTCTCAGAAAATATCATTGTGTTCCCAGAAACGAATGGAACAGGCTGCGTGTCTTGTGAGCATATTAAATGTGGCAGTTAAGGAGTTTCGCTAAATATCATGAAATGATTTAGGAAGACTGACATAATTGAATTTAGCACGGAGAGAATTCAAAGACTTGATTAGCTCTGAGGGACCATTTTATCTCTTCTTTTATCTCTTAAAAGTTCCTTTCCTCTTCCACCCCCACCATTGCACCAGGCAAAATTGCACACAATCACCAGGAGGTGGAGCTGAGGTATTATTTTTACACAAAATTAGCTCCCTAATATACTGGACATAGGAAGATGCAAGGACTAGTTGTTGAATGTGCCTTTTCCATGGAATGTTTGGAGACTGTGCTTAACGTGTTCTGTATATTACAAGAGGAGTGATTACTTATAAGAGCTGAGTGACTCATTATAAATCGCTTGGTATCGGGTCATTGTTTTATGTAATTAGGTGACTTGTGACATGAAGCAACCCTGGGTCCGTTATAGAGGTGCTTCCAGGCCATTGCTAATTTCTGGTGGTATTCAGGACAAATGGTGGTATGTGCAATTATAGTTGATTTGCAGCTTTTGCACAACAAGCCTACTTCCTCCAAATATCATTGTAATGAAATGCACTGGGAATGCATTCGATTTGGCTTTGCAGTAGCATCTAAGCTCCCTGCAAAGGAAACAGATTGAACCAAATGCTCATAAAATAGTCACCGTGATCTAATCTCCCTTCAAACAAATAAACCTGAATGTTCTAAAATACATAATCTGGAAGCACCCTCCAGGTCACTTTCAAAAATGCAGTTGCCCATCAAATACAGTGGTACCTCGGGTTACAG